TAGAATCCATCATAAGACCATCATTTGAAATGATGTATCCTAAAAAGTCAACTTGAGTAGTGTGAAATACACACTTTTCCATCTTGGCGTACAATCCTGCATCTCTGAGTTTTTGTAATACTTGACGAACATGTATTTCATGTTCTTCAACATTCTTAGAATAAATCAGGATATCATCTAGGTAGCAGACGACAAAATTGTCTAAGAATTCACGAAATACATCATTCATGAGATGTTGAAAAGCAGCTGGTGCATTCGTGAGTCCAAAAGGCATGACATTATATTCAAAATGCCCGTACCTGGTTCGAAACGCAGTCTTCCATTCATCTCCTTCTTGTATCCATACTAGATTATATGCTCCTCTTAGATCTATTTTTGTATAGATCTTAGCTTGATTTAACTGGTCAAGGAGTCCTGATATCAAAGATAATGGATACCTGTTCTTGATTGTGATCTTGTTGAGTCCTCGATAGTCAACACACATTCGTAAAGATCCATCTTTTTTCTTTACGAATAGAATTGGAGCTCCTGCTGGAGATTTTGAATGGCGTATGAAATTCTTCGCTAAATTCTCGTCAATATATGTCTTGAGTTCAGCCAACTCATCTTGCGATAAACTGTAAATTGGTCCAAATGGTGGCTGAGTTCCTTCCTTGAGATCGATTGAACAATCGTATGGGCGATGCTCAGGAAGAATATCTGCATTCTTTTTCTCAAAAATGTCTTGATAATCCTGATATTGACTTGGAATGCCACTTGAAGTCTTTACGCTTTCAGAAATAGGTGCAGCATAAATAGCAAAAGTTGATCCTTCTTTTGCTACATGTATAAATGCTTTTGCACCTATAGGTGCGAGTTTTACTATACTAGACTCATGGTTTTTTACTTGGTTAATAGAACTGTTACTAATGCTCTGAGGAAAATCAAGTTTACGAGAAATCCAATCTATTCGAGGATTATACTTTTCTAACCATGATAAGCCTAAAATTACTGGATTAGAGGGAGATCTAATTATATTAAAAATTACGCAATTACTATGACCATTTATTACTACATCTACAGGAAGTGTTTCGTGAGTTACATCTCCAGAAGACAACGGACGACCATCTATGACTTCTACGTGTACAGGTTTAGTTTTTTGTATTAATGATATTCTATGACATCTAGCAAATTCTTCATCTAAAAAACAAGATGAGGCTCCTGAATCTACCAAGGCAGAGGCTTTGTAATTATTAGGTCCTAAACGCACATCTATTATAAAACAAGGAGATGGTTCTGAGGAGAGGATAGGACCTTTATTAGAAGTTGTACAAGATTCCAGCCGCACGGTCCCTATTGTAGCTGAACGTACTCGTTTTCCGACATACTGTCTTCTTTGACAGCCGTACTCCTCATTTTGTAGTTACGTCGCTTCTTTGGACAATGTTGAGCAGTGTGCTTAGGTTCTCTACAATATAAGCACAATCCTTCTTGTCGACGACGAGACTTTTCTTGCTCAGTAAGAGGTTTGAAACATACCGCATCAATTTGCATATCCTCTACTTCTGAAGGTATGTGTTGAGGAGACATCGGTGTTGCCATTGAATTGTAGTAACGTTGAGGCCCACTTGTGCGACTCTCGGATCGAAATTCAAAAAGTCGATTGTCGCACTTCACAGCAAAGTCAATTGCTTGACTCAATGTTTGAGGATCAGGTAAATTAAGCATCAATTTCTTTACCTCATATTGTAATCCGTAGAGAAATTGACTCACAAGTGCGGCATCATCCCACTTGATATCAGTTGCAAGTTGTCGAAATTGCGAAGCATATAATGTTACTGATCGATTGCCTTGTCGCAAAATACGGATCTTGTTGGTTGCAACACGAATTGCATCATGTTCTCCAAACATGGATCGAAACTCCGCCAAAAAAGCCTCCAGATTATCCAATATTGGATCTCGTCATTCAAGAAAAGATGAAAACCATGACAATGCTGAACCTGAAAGAAGTGTACCAATGAATCTTACTTGTGACCCTGGAGTTGGATAGCTCTCGGGTTGAAGTTCAATCACTAGTTGGACCTGATTGATGAATCCTCGAAACTTGGATCTGGTACCATCAAACTTCTCGGGCAAGGCAACTCTCGGTTCTCTAACACTCGAAGGGTGTTCCATTCTGGGAGAAGGGACATGGTTTGGTGCAGATGTTGAAGCAGCCCCAATCATCTCTATATCTTCACTTCCTACCATTCTTGTTGCTCCTTGTGGTGGTAAATTGAGTTGATGCATCGCAAGCATTAACTCCCTCAATTGTTCTTGCATCTGTGCCATTGCACTCTTCATTTCAACAAGCTCTGCCATAGTAGCACTTAGAAAAGAGAAGATGTCTAACAACGCTCAAAACAAATAGAAGAGAGGAATTGATAACAAAGAAAATACTAAGAACAATATCAGTTTAAAAGAGGGTAATCCGCAACTTCTAATGCGCTTATGTCTTATCAAGAAAAAGGGGTAATCCACTCTTAATCAAGAAAAGACAAAGCTCTGATATTGTAAGTGTACTCTTGTCAATCTGTTAAGGACAAGAACTCGATGAAAGCTAAAGAGTAAGTGAGACTTTTCTCAAAAAGAAATAGGACAAAATAGAAATATGTATATTAAGAAAGAAACTGGAATGGCTATTGCCAAAATACAAGAAAACTAGAGACCCTTGAAACTAGACTAGAAGCAAGAAAGGAGTTGACAAGAGTGAAGAGGGCTTCACTCTTGCCTCTATATATACTATCTAACTAGAAGCCACGTGGCGATGTTCTATAAGACCTCCAATATATGTTGACTTTCTAGGCCACATGCCTTTGCTTGCAAGGCAAGTTTTCTATGGATGGACCACGTAGTTAGCTTGTTCTTTAAGCTTCCAACATGCGTGGCACATGGCTAACTTGTTGATCAAGTTTCTAACCTAAAAGTCAACTATAGACTCCTATAAAGTCAAAGCAGCGTCTATGAAGCTTCTAAGAAGCTTCTCTAGAAGATATTACACAATTAACCTACTTTTACATACTTTTATCTATTCATATAGGTAATTATATGTATGTCCGTGACAGTTGCTTCTTTGGACAATGTTGAACAATGTATTTAGGTTCTCCATAATACAAACACAATCTTTCTTAAAAATGTCAAGTTTTTTCTTGTAGAGTGAAAAGTTCAAAGTATATTGTATAAATTTGCATAAGTTTTGGGCTTAATAAATAAGGTTTCTAAAAACTTAAGAATTGTTACGATGACTTCACTTATTTCTCTCATAATAATAAGCAAAACAAAGTTTTTTTAAAATTTTCTTGGATGTGTACATATCAATATAGAATATGTATGTAGCAGCTTGAAGTGTGTTTGTAGCTTGAGTCTTCTATAAGTTATTGCAAACTAATATTATATAATCATTAAATCTCTTATTTTTGAGCTTATGTTAGAATTATTCTACATAATTCCAATTAGGTGGTTAATAATGCTTATAAGATTACTATAGATATTTTTGTTCTATTATCAAATAGAAGATATGAATGTAAATTTAATAGTTGTTTATATTGATATATAAGAAATTAAAATAAATTTTGTATGACCACTCTATAAGTTATTTGAATTCTTTACATTACAATATATTTTACATAGTTGATATCTCAAATATATTATTTTTAGAAAAAATAATGTATATTTTTATATTATATTCAAAATCATGCATCTTTTTAATTTGACTTTTTAAAAATATAAAAAATAGTACCATAAATATTTTTGAAGATACTTATATAAGGATATGTGGTATTATGAAACTAACAATACATCTAATATTTATTTCAAAATCAATCCATTTAAGTTTGATATACACTCTATTGCAAAATTTATAAAAAGAACTCATATATAATATCAACCTTTCTATTTAAAAATAAATAAAACTATTATAGTCAAATTTCATGTTATTATTAATACATGTCTATCACAAACAATATCAAATACACTCTAATGATGTTTTAAGATTTATAGGTTATATATATATATATATATATATATATATTTATATTGCTGCTATAAAACAATCACAATGAAATATTTTACTACTATAACATGTTTTATGTTATTATTATTATCATTATTATTTTTAATATAGTAGTCCTATCTCTTATTAATTGCAAAGTGAAATACAAATTAAAGTGACAAAAATTCATAGTTGCTAACCACAATATAAGAATTTAAAAATGGAACAAATGTTGTTTCATATGATACATATCCATAATATTGCAATTCTTTTGTAGAACAATATCAAGTTAATTTATTAATTCATTTTAGTAAAAAACATTTCAAAACTAAAATTATCCACCCACCACTTGTTTTAAATGGATTTAAACTTTTTTTTTTAATCAAAAAATTATTTACAATAAAAAACCATTGTGAATCATTTTGTACCTCTTAAGTTTTTTGTAAAAAAAGCAATCACATGAGCCTTGAAAATGTGATACATTTAACACATGAAAATTCTTAGTCAATGGCCATATGGATCTGCAACCATTGTTTTTTAAAGAAAAATTTAATTTGTAAAAAAGAATTGGTACAAGGTTTATATTATTTTATATTATTTTAATGTGTTAGAAATAGAAAATATATATTTTTATTCTTTTTTAGATTATGTGCAATCCATTGCAAGTGAAGAAATGAAAAAATAAAATAAAAATAGAACATAAAAATAATTTCCAAAGATCATAATAGACAGTGTGCAAAGTATCGTCTCAAAGTCGAAATGTAAGCTTTGAAAACCAATTTTCATAAATTCGGAGGTAGAATTATTTTAAAGTTTCTTAGTTTCTTAGTGTTGAAATAATGGTTCTCAGACACTCAAAGGTGGAACTAACCGCAAGAACTGTCCACATGGACCATGACTTGGAGTCTTCATCCGGGCAGTCGGGCAGTCGGGCACGAGAAAGCGCGACTCCTTTCGTCTCTCTGGTGATTCAAATTAAATTTGAAACCCACTGTTCCCCCCCTTTCCGCTTTGCATTTGCGCAACTATGATTGCCGTTGCCACAGATTGCCAAACCCTACTTCGTTTTACCCTCTCTGGAAATCCTTCAAGTTTATTGCGTGTGACCAGTCTCATTATTCTCTGCACTTAGAGTGTTTGTTATGCTTTTGCAAATCTGTCAAAATGCAATTCTCGTTTCCTGTTCTGGAGCGAAAGGAGATCCTCTCCTGCTTGTCTGCCGATGCAGGAATCACCTTAGAGGAGCAACATTTGGTGAAACCTTCCATGGAAACTGTGTGGCCAGTCTACGAGAGCTTGGTGCTTAACATTATGGGAATCACACGGTGCGATGCTTATTCTCCCTTGTCTATACCTATTTTTGTTTTCCACACCCTGAAAACATTCATTTGCGTAACGAGCCAATCTTCTGGAATTGGCGCCTTGGCGTTTCTCAATTTCTTTAGGGTTTTCCGTTAAACTGTCTTTGCTATTCGAACTATCACTGTTGATGTCGGATTTCGGTGAGATTTTAAATCACTGACTTATTGCATTTGAAGAACAAACTGAACAATTAATTTGACTTGCGGCCTTGGTTGCCCTCGATGATCACCGCACGGAATCTGTTGACAGAGAACGAAGCGTTGAACCATCTTCAAGTAACAAGTACCAAGAAACTAGATATTCACTGCCCATATCTATTGGAAATTTGGATAGATTAATATCCTGTAGTCTAATATCACAAACATTCGCAAATCACAGGGAGGAGTTGCAGCAGCCAGCCTTTCATGCCATTGAGAAGTTAGAGTATCCTGAACTTCACGAAGAATCTGTTGGTATTTTAGCGTCCATCCGCGCTATCAGCAAGCTGATGGCAGTCACGGGGGTTGATGACTTTTCAACAATGGACATCTTCAAGCCTGAAAGCAAGCGGACAATCACTCATCTGAGTGCTATTATTAACCTGCTTAAATTTAAGTGAGTACCTTCTTTCTCACACTTGCCTTGGGGGGAGTGGCCCTTTAGCCTAGATGCGTTATGTTGAATTGCAGCTTTTGATTCATCAATTAACAGCCCTCTGGCGATATTCGGCATGTTTGAAGAAAAAAATAGTTAGTTACTGTCAACTTCCATGTTAGGATTCTGCTGCCGTAATGCCTAGCAGTTTCAGAAGTGCCTCGCATGTGGAAGTGTATAATGATGTGGATAGCAATCGTGTTTTTTCCCTTCGAGAACTTATCGTCTGTAACGTGATTTAGGACGCGGTAAAGGCTCAGAACATGAAGATTCTATTTAAGCATGTACTGTGCAGGCAAGGGAAGGAAAGGGACTTGGCTGAAGTATTGGACGAGAGAGAGCGAGCATTCGTTCTCTATCAGCAATCCGAGGAGCGTCTAGCAGCGGTATTTTAATGATTTATATGGATTTTGAATGATTTCAATTGTTTCCTCAGTTCCACGCAGATACTTACCACCTTTCCTGCGGTCTATGTTGGTCATATTGATGAAAAAGTGCTAGTTTAATATGATTTTTTAGTCGATTAAAAGAACAGGAAAGAAAAAGAAATTGAGGAAATGAGTAAATGATGTAGGTTATCATTGAACCATTCGTGTCATTGTAGGTCTAGCCTTGCCTACGCTGAAGTTCCGGTGTGCAAGATTTCGTGTGAAGAAAGCTTAATCTAATCTATGAACATGAGGGACAAGATTGCAATAGGCAAAGTTATCTTTCCTCGTGAAGTTTTACTTCTGAAAGCCATACGCGGTACATCGTGGTGTTGGTACAGCTTAAAAATGAGATTGAAGCTTTAGAGGCAGATAGACTTGCACAGCAGCCAGCTGTGCAAGCCTTAGAAGCCGAGACCAAGGTATTGAACCAGGAGATTCAAGCTCTTAACAAACAACATGGAGCTCTACAGTCTGATATTCGTGCCTTGAAACAAGAAGGTCAAGCTGTCGCAGAAGAGGTGTTGTTTCATCCATTGCATTCATATCTTATTTGTGAACTTCGACTCCTTTGAGCGGTTTCTATACTAATGCTGGAAGTCCTATGGCCTTCAGGTTCATGCAATAATATGCTCTGTAAAGAGAGTAAGTGTCTGATGTATTTTTAGTAGAAATTGCGGATTATATTCCTGGGTAGTATGCTGCTTCCAGTTGTTTTCATCCGCTTTCAACTGCACGGAACTATCTTCAAGTAGAGCAACTCGCTACATCTGGACCGGTCTATATTTACGCGAGGAAAAATATCTAATGTTCTCACACAGAAAAGAACTAGAAATCTTTCCCTTCCCTCAAACCTTATACTTAGGTTGACTTATATGTGGGCTGCCGCTGGCTTTGGGACAGCCATGATTGAATAGTGTCCTTAATATTGTGCTGCATGATCGTTTTAATTTAGGGGTTAATTGCGAATTTCTTGATTATGTAGTGATACCACGTAGTTGTGGATGGTACGTGTAATTTGTCACACAACATTTAGTATACCAAATGCATTATTTCTTCTGTAAATGGTTGACCACTCCAACATTTGTGAATACTCCGTGATACTTCAGATTTCGGCAGAGAAATACTCCCTTATCCAGCAGAAGGAGGAACAAGAACGATTGAAGAGTCAAATTGTTCAGTCTCCGCAAAAGTTACAGGTATTGATATTTGAATCCTGGCATTTGTCCAGTGCGAAAAGGAAACGTATTTAGCTCAATACTGGTCGTAGTCTTACTCCACTACCAATCATATATAGAAAATAAAATGAAGATCTTTCAAGTATTTGCAGATGTTCTTAGATTGGGTACTGCCAGTGAATGGTCGAGATATGGGACGTTGTATATCACAAACTCAGACATCAATCACCTACTTGGAGAAATATGAAGATTTAGAAGAACATGCGTCTTGATGATCATTCGCTAATGAAACTTGTGTTTCCAATGCAGAGGTCACTGGCCGAAAAGAAAGCTGCCCTGATAAGCACTAAAGCCTCAGCTGAGGAGGCTCAGCAGTTGCTTAATTCCTTCAAGGGCAAACTTGAAGCGTACAACAAGGTCAATCCCTCACACCGTAATAAACCTCTTTCTTAATCGTTGAAGCTTTATGACTAAGTTCCTTATAAGAAGAAAACGGATTTTATATTTCTTGTTTTGCAGTCACCCAGGCAGCCTTACGCTGACCACGTTTTTAGTCCTGATACAGGTTGAAAAGAAACTGAAGAAACTCTTCGGTATGCTAGATGAAGTTGAAAAACTGGTATGTCCCCATCTGGTGCTAAGAATGAATTTTTAGTCTTGAGTTAGAATTTTGTGAAACATGCTATCCTGTGCAACTGCGTTTATGTATGCTTAAAATGTCATTCACGGCGTGAACACCTACATACATTATATTTCAGACAGTCTAAAGTGAATTTTTTATTTTTCTACAGTGGGTTAAGCAAAAAGCTACGATTAAGGAGAAAAAGGCGTTTAAAGCTCAAGTTAAATCAATTGAAGAAGAAATTGAATCTCTGGATACGGAGCTATCTCAGCTGAAGTTCCAAGGTGTGTTTTGACCATGCACGTTATACTGAGCATATGTGCTTATTTTGCGTATTGAAAAAAGTTCCCAGTTTATTGTTGCGATTATACCCTCTATTGGTGTCAGCACGGCTGGATATGGGTAGTGTTTTATGGTATCGGCATGTTGTGGTCTCAGGAACACTCATGCACTAATAATTTTGCAAATGCAGAGCAACACTGGTTAGAACTGACGGAGAAATTGGAGCAGCAGGGACCTAAAAAGCTGCAGGAAGCGAAGAGAGAACTTGAAGATACCGAGGCTAATTGTTTACCGGTACTTGCTCGAATAGAAGAGCGTGGTGCCGCCAATCTAAAAGCAGAAGCACAGGTATTTTCACGTGAACACACTTGAATTTGAAGATTCTACTCAGTAGAGTTAACTCATATCCCCCGTGACATGGACCCTGAGTATCTTAATCGCGCAGGTGGTAGTATTCAAGATTTTTACGCATGACGTAAGGCAAACGTTCGACATATATAAATGAGTGCAGTACCTCCGAATCTTTCGTATACATTCAATTTATAAGCCTCATCGTAATCATCCAAGGTCTCAAGTTTGGTTTTGAATCTTTCCCTTTTGATTCCGTCCTATCTACTCAACTACTTTTTTTGCAGGTGAAAGAGATCAGAGAGAAGTTGGAAGCTATGACCAGGAAGAAAGAGAACATAATCGCTCGGGGTGAGGCAGCTGTTCAGAAAGTCATGAAAGAGGTAAGCCTCCCCTTTTCATCACTCTTGGACGAGTCCAAAATAACTTCTGCTTTTTTCAGTATGGATTTCACTACAAAGTGGAGCCAATTGTAGTTGGGTACTCTTCGATCGTTTGTTGTTTTCTTCCATATTCATTCTTATGATTCTGTCACGAGGTTTGGCCCACCTGCAATGTGAATGTTTAGGAGACTACTGACGATGTGCACTACAACTTCATTTCGGTGATGTTGATCGGAGGTTGGGGGTATTTTGCAGACGCTGCATCACTATCGTACACTTCTTGAAGTAGGCCCTGCAGCACTTGCTGCTCTACCTAATTCGAGACTAAACAGAGGATTACAGTAGTTCTGATGACAAGTTGAAGCGGAAGGCCCTTTTTCTCTTTCGTTAATTTTTGGGAAAATGCCCTCACAGCACTCTTCAGCATTATTGCTTGATGGTAGTAACGCAGTAACGCTTCGTTGCTTGCAAACCGCCGCCTAGTTGTGCCAGTTCGGATGTGAATCTTTAAAAATTGTACAGTATGTTTAATTTTCGAAAATGAAATCATAGGTTATCTTACAGTCGTACTTTGGTATTGTGTAGAGTGACTTAGGCAACCCTAAATCCCTGTATTGTAGCAACTTCACATGAATAAATTTGTTGGTTGTAAAGACTGGGCTACCTTGGCCTTGCTCACATATGGTGCTAAGTTCCTGCTGCAACTGTCAAAAATGTTGCAACGTCATGTTCTATTTTTCTACCTTCTCATTTTGTACAATACTTGATGATTTGTAGAGTACTTGATTCCTCTTATATTATAACAGGCATGGTTTTTGACCTTCTAATCCTACGAATTACCGTATTCCGCGATTTCAGGGACGCCATCTTCACGAATGGACATCACTACAGCATTGGGTACGTAAGTTGCACCTGTTACAATGAATGATCTAGGAAGGGAGAAGATACAAGATAGAGAAGATTCACTAATACCCAGTGTAGGGTAGCTCAGACTGAGAACCGTTAGTAGGATATCACCTTACTTTAAGTAGGCTCTCGCAAGCTAATCCTTTTGAGCCGACATGCCACCGCTTCTTACGGGATCTTCCCTCGCAATTGAGGGGATACGTATCGTTTTTTTTATTTAATATATGTCTTGGTGCTGACAGATTTTGTCCCTTTCACATATCTATGGACAAAGTTAAAACCTAGATACACACGACGAGGCATTTTGAGAATGTATGTAAGACGATACTTTTACTGTTGAGGCTTAATGCTACATCCTTTGCATTGTAGTTTTGATATTATATCACGTGGCAATGAGGTCGTTGAATCGGAAAAGGCTGATCGAGAGTCGGGCTCAATTGTGACCACAAGATTAATCGATTCCAGTGGACATATCAAGTGCGTTTTGAGTGTATGTAAATAGATGTGTCTTCAATGGCAAATGATGAGCTTCTATTGTGGAATCCACAATTTATCGTATGCTTGAGAGTGACCTCGATAATACTGAGACGTTCATTGACTGTGCATACCAGGTTTCCTCTGAGGAGTAAGTTGAGGTGACCGAAATCTGTAACTACAAATCCGAATGTGGGCATCGGCAAAGATAATTATTTCTTCCCCCAGTCTTGGGGAGAGCTCTTTGCATCCAGTGCTTTGAGTAAACTTAATGCTGCGGTTGCTTCGTCATTCCCGTTCAACTAATATTAGATTTTTCTATAGCAATCCCGAAACTGACTGGCTTTAGTACATTCCCTTCTCACTATTTTCAGCTCTAAACACTTGATATGCGGGTTTTCCGGTTAATTTCCTAATGCAGGGTGTAGTTCAGAACATGATGATTCAGTAATTATTTACTTTGGGATGTGGATGGTCTTGGGTATCTTGGTGGAAAGAATCTTTTTTGATTCTCCAGCATGCCAAGAGTTACAATGTTAACATTCCTAGCACTACTCAAACTGAGAGTGATAAGATCCGAGCCCACTGTGAAGGCTTTATTAGTACCAGATTTGAACCCAGTCGGATAGATTAACTCATGTGTGGAGATTTAATATTTATATCCGGATGGATTAGACGAATATCCTAATCTCAGTGAATCTAGACTGATGATTGTAGAGCTTACAACGTCTGCAATTGAATTGGCACTGTCTAATAGGCTCACTCGAGAATGATTGAGGGGATCGAGAATAACAGAGAATTCATGGACCTGGCTATTGGACTTGTCTGGAAAATGGTATGTATACCCCATCGTAAAACTGTATTTTTTTGGGGAAATAATTTGAAAACCGTGTGTGAACAAAACAAATTCCAGAAAAATACCAATTCGATCACTCAATTGACTCACACTACCAGTGAACACATGATAATAATTGATTTTGCAGAAATATAATTCACGAATTATTTTGTTCTTTGGAAGTGTAAAACTTGTGGCTGAAAACTATGTGTTTCATTATTGAAAGCACAGAAACAGATTTTTGTACTAGTGAATAATCGAAATAAAAACATGTGGACGTATGTATATTTGCAACCAGTAAGTTCCGGTTTCCATTCAGGGATTGGCGTATTAATTATGCTTGCAGTGATTGGAATAACTCTGTATTGTTGTCATTCCATGAATGTAATAGAATATTTCCGGAATTTCTGGATAACAGAGATTTGGGAGTCCTGCCATCTCCAAGTCAGACATTCTGCAGCTGCAACCCAAGTTCTGAAACTTTTTCTACCTGGCATCAACGCGTTCCTTTACTCACTTCGTCTCGATTCTTCTACACCTTCTCCGTCATTTTCGTCGGATTGTCAGCTGGATTGTCGTTCTGCAATTCCATTTGTGTTGTGAAACCACATTGAGCGCATCCATGGGTGCCGATGGATGCCGGCCTCCGCATTCTTCAACTGGAGTTGGGAGGGAGTTCAAGTGCGAAGTCCTCTGAAGCTTGCATGTTCATGCTTCGTCAAACATTGAAACCGGCACTCACAAGGTATATCACGTTGATTCAGAAGAATCATCTACTCAACATGGTTGGGGTGTGACGATTATCTGGACGCACTTGCACACACACTGGCCTTGCGCTTAAGATTACCGCTGAAAGAAGTATGCGGTTTGGAGGTGAACCAAGGAACAGAAGCGATTGTTGGCAGCTCTGCTACCGTTAAGGCCCGGTTGCATAGTCTTCGGGAAGACAGACCCGGGGTTTGAGGGTTCAGCGCATTGGCTTGGGACTCTCGCCCTCAGCTGCAACGTTGCGCACATGACGCCAATTGTGCGCACAAGTATACAAAAGGTTAATCTGCAAGCTTCCTCGATCCAACTTAAGTTCCAAAAGGTCATTCTAAATGGCAGAACCTGTCTGGCCATTTCGCTGGGGTTAAGTATCGTAATCACAACATATGCGATGAGCTGAGTCAAGATGGGAGCCAATTCTATGAAGTGATGCTACTTTTGATGGTTAAGCTGGTGCACTTCAGCATGTGAATATAGTCAATTCTTTAAATGTATGCCTCATCGGAAGGATATTCCAATGGGTGAAACGATGACAATCTCTGCAAGCATTCTTATGTTGGTTCGCTTACAGTGGGGCATTGACATGTTGATCTCTCACCATATCTGGCGTCGTCACAAACTTCTAAACTTCTGATTCTGGAATCGAAGATAAGCGCCGCCGCATTGGGTTCACCACATTAACCAGCGCCATACATGCTATGTCTTAAAGTCAGAGAACTAGAACTTGACCTCAAGCTTAGAATGGGCAGGGGTTTCTACAGTTAGTAAACTACAGTAGCACTTTGTCTACTCAGAGAAACATGTCATTTGATAGGTTGAATAAAGTAGTACTGTAGAATGTCGTTTGCACTGGCTTTTTGCACTTTTCTAGTCGTCGGATGTGTACTAATGCAAAGGATCATTCCATTGACGGTTTGTTCCCCAGCATTTAAAGCTACGTTACATGATTTTTATAGAACCTGGGTTGCTCCAGAAAGAATTCAGGTCTCTGTCGAACCGCTCTCAGTGAGCTTGAAGTTAGGGCTCCTAGCCGTGTACATGCTGAGTGACTACTGAATTAGCCCACTGACACATTCGGCGATGGCTTACACTAGGGTAACGAAATGGTAGGTGGGCGTTGCGATGGAGGCTGGGATTTCTTTGGAGGTTGAAGAACTCGAAACCGGTAAGGTCCATCACACTGACTTTCTGCAAAAACCTGGGTGCTCCTGTCTCGTCAATATTGTATCATCTCAGGCAGGTTTTTGTTTGTTGCTAGCTTGCCAAAGAAGTTTCTAAGCAATGTATCTTGAAGCCTATGATTCCTATACCTTTCTTTCTCGTACCTATACTTATGATGTCCTGCGCTACTGTTCCTAAACCATTTCGTCATCTGATCGTTTTCATGTATTTGGTCTGGGGATTACTTGATTAAATTATATCTCATGCCAGTTACGCGTCCAAACTGTGAAACTAGTCAGCAATCTGATCTCTTTCACAAGCTCAAGAAGTATTGTGGGGTTCAATTGTAAATCGAGTGAGTAACCAGGAAACCTCGTTCTCTTGTTACTGTGACTTCGTTAGTTTCTGGAATCATTGGGAAACATAATAGTGTCATGGATCTCGAAGTAAGACATGCACTGGCGAAAGTTAACTGCACGTTCAAATTGAATATGAATCCTGCGTGAAGTCCGCGTACAACCAACACGTATTGTTGGAGACTGGAGTATGGAACTTGACTTGTGATTCGCTCCTTCTGGGCCCTTTAAGGAATGTTGACGGTTTTGGAGGAGACTAAAATATCCCAAGATCTCGAAGTGGTTGATAGCAATTGGCCCCATCTGTGGCAAGTGGGTGATGTTACCATCTTTTTCCGTGTGCAAACGTATCATCAATGACTGATCTCAAGGTGATATTCAATTAGACAGACACATTCGAGATACCAGATGGATTAGTCTATATTCCTCAAAGTGGTTACCCGCTTTACCTCATATGTACGAGTGCTTGACAATTGCTGAACAATCAATGTTAAGCATATTTGAATCTCGCATGATCAGTCTCTAAAGACGAGTCAGGTGATGGCATCGAAATTTAGATTGTCTTACATTTTAGACCACAATCCAGACATGGCAAGAACATTCTCAGTTCACAACAGGGACAGCGAAACCTGAAGAACCGAAGAAATAATTTTGCAATGCCATGTTTTCCAACATGAGCTTGGTTTATTTGTGTTGCATATAGTGAAAAAGTGCAATAAATTGCCAAAGATAACAAATGTGTGTGCTGTGTCGCGGTGGTCATGGTTGTTCGTATCGTCTGTGGCATCATGAAATGAAAAGTACGTGAACCAGATGAAATGCTGAGGATGACAAATGAACAAAGTATATTGTTGTATGTTTCTCAGAAGTTGACGAAACTTGAATATTAAGTGGTAAACCTTAGTGGTAAATATAAAGTATGTTAGGTTAGCCGACTCTGAAGTTTGTTTGGCAACTTCCTTGAAGTTCAGATGGGCCTGTAAGTGACGCTTTGGAGACTGGACTAAAAAGTGGTTCATATGTGGGTGCAGAAAGTGTGTTGATGTCTCAGTGAAATTGCTAGTCGGGAGACATAACGAGTCTGAAGTTAGCTAGGAGAATACAGCCGCTTCTACCTGATCCTCCTCAAGATACGATACTTTTTAAATCAAAGATAATATCGAGATCGTAAGTTGGTACGTGCATCAATTTCTCACAAACTTATCTGATGTACTTGGAGCTTGTTTAGGATTATGGACGTATTCCTTCTTTTTCTTTCAAATGAATCTCCCCCTTGCCTTAAACGATGTTTAATCTAGTCTAATGGAATGTGTTTTTGTGTGGAGGTAATTGAAATCAAACCTGATACACATGCTGAAAGTAAGGGATTCAACTTCATATGACCAGTCAGTGTTTGCGTGAGGGTTTCCATTCCAGTTATGCAAAGGTTGAACTTTTCGCCTAGATGGACAGAAACACTGCTAGTATTCCCCTACCACTTAGACTGCGTACAGTCTAAGTGAGTATGGATTTTAGCATCTAAACTCTGTTTATATTTATTTGTGAAACAACATTGCGGTTTCGTCATTTGCAATGCCTTGGGAAGATTCACCGAAGTGTGCATCTATCAGGTCGAGGTAGTGTCACTTTGTCACTAGAGAGCTTGCTATGCACATTCAATTACCACTGAACGTATTTCTCCTTGAAAATATTGAAGAGTTGAACAGACCTTGTAATCAGAATTTAGACGGAATCTATGAGTTCAATAAGTTACTCCTGAACGCATGTGGTAAGGTTTACTTCCTGTTCCGACGTTTCTACCTCGAAGAACATTAAGAAAATGTCTAGTTACTTTCACCTGGCTGCTAGTGCAACGCGGTTGTGACTGATACTATTTCCAGATAATTGACAGGCGCGCGTTCGGTTGCAGCCTTCTTCAGACTCTACACTTCTTGAAAGAACCACAACACAGTTTGAAAAGCATATTGTCGCAGGCGTGAACTTCGATGTTAGTATCCTCCTGTAAGTATTTTCCACTCAATTTTGTGTTCGTAGCAGTATTTTGCGTACCCAGATTTGGTATTCTGATGTAAGACATTGCGGGCTAATCGAAAGTTTATATAGAGGCTAAATGATACTGCGTGACCGGCCGGATACACTTTTGCTGCTTACCGAGCAGATTTGTAAAGGATGGATTTTTCACGGTGTGGATATGTTTAGGTTCAGTGGTCCTGCTCCAGACCTAATCCAATCCATCATTCAGCTAAAGAATCTTACAATTGACAAATTTGAACTCGTTCTTCAGAAGTTTCGGATCATAAAAAAGCTTACTTTGTACGTGGTAGTATTTCTCGTGGCTTCGTGGATCTACATAACTCTCGAGATCTAACATCTCATTTCGTTACTTGTCCACGATCTGCCGTGTTGTACCAGAATAGTAGATGGATAGTTCTCTGACCGCTGGCCGGAAGTTGGTCTTCCGCTGTAGAACCTTGAGGTTTTTATCAGCTTTGACGGCTTGTTGATTTTGAATGATTTGATTGTTGATGAATGATGGAGATTGAGGTTTATTGCATAATATTTACCTTGGACAACTTGATCGCTCCAATTTTGCTGGGCCATATTCTTACCAAGTTCTCTGGAAGTGCCGTTCCATATTCCTGTCAATGAATTGGTTCCTTAAAAAAAAAAAAAAAAAAGAAAAAAGAAAAAAAAAGGGTGCTGTTCAGAAGAACGTCTAGAACATATTATAGAGATTCTATCCAGGTTAAATAAGTCGTAGATCATTAGCGGGCTTATGTTGCCAGCTTGTTGCCTGGTTATCATAATGTAGGTAATGTTGAGTGACATTCATCAGATTTTACTTGATTGTTTTGTTATTAGTTGTGCTTAATTTGTGTGTCAATGTCATTGTAATTAAATGAATTCAGGAAAAAGGTAGTATGTGTTGATAAACCTCTTGAACCAGGCATGTAATGGTGTACTTCTGTCTACGTTGTGAACTGTCAGCACTATGCAGAAAGAAGCTGTGTCTCAACTGCAGTGGTATTATTTTTGGTTATGCATATTAGTCTCTATCTAATGGGATCAACAGTCATATAGATACTTTCCGCTGACTCTTCACTGCCTCGCAATATTTGTCTTGGTAAGTGATGTTACAGCCGTCTCACGAGGACAACTCTCGATCTCCCCACTCGATCAATTCTGCCGAAAATGTCAGCCTTACGGTATCCCAGTTCTGCTGATGTTTCAACCGGTTTTTAAAAACGATCGTATACCCTGAAATGAAATCAGGAAAGCATTCATTGTAATCCTAATTTTTTGACCTTGAGTTCTTAGCGATTTCTTCTCTCTCTTGTCATTATAACAGCAGCTGTTACGACAGTTCTTTACTGTAAAGGATACAGGTGAAAGTATCCCTCGAGGACACCTTCGAAACGAGATGAAGTTACTTGCAGAGACGTCATCATATACCTTAATGAAGTTAGTGAGTCTTCATGCTTAATATTGCCCCTGTATTCTTATTAATTTAATGTACTGATCATTTCATCGCTTTGAAAAAATATGTTTTTTTCAGTTTTTACAGATTTGTGAACTTGATTTAACATTATAATTTTCTGCAACTGTCCAGGATTTATGTAAAAGATGTTCCAAGATCAAGGCAACAGCTGTCCAACATGTACACTAAATGGGTAAGAAAACAGAATCTTCTCTAGCTCACACTTGTTTTCTGTGTGAGGGGCATTAGACATCGCATAATCTTGTCCGTTTATGTCCTGATACTCCGTTCTTGAGAGCCATGCGATTTCAGGGACTGTCATTTGCGTGTAGCTCAATATATCTATGGGCTTTGAACCACGATTTCTTGGTAAATTTAAGGTGGACCTATGTGATTATTGTGTCAAAATTAGTATTTACATGCTCACTTTGAAATGATTTTTTCTAGCAAGTAGTGGTATGTCGAAGACATCAATGTGAACGGTAACGTCTGTCCAAGGTGAACATTATCTGGTTTTCATTGTTTGTTTCTGGTAAGGAAATCTCTGCAAGAAGCGGGGGAATGATACCTCTTCTGTTCTTCCTAAAGTAACTCTTGAACATTTAGCATCAGAAGTGTCGTTTAGGCTTTTATTCGCGCAGGAGCATCACTTGCGTGTCTTAGCCTTTCAGCATAGATATAGTGCAATCATATGAACCTAGTCATTTTAGTTGTCTGGACCCACTGTTTGTGGTATCCTGGTTTCCTTCCACACGTCATTAGACTCCTGTTTGTTGGACAATTCACTTTGTTCGCTTCTTTCATTATTTTTCCTTTCGTACTTTTCTCCATTTCCCCCCCGATTCCCGTTTTCATTTAAATTTAGGGTGCAGTAGCGGCGGGACAAGAATGATAACGCTCCTCTGCATAAAACTGTGAATCTTACAGAGACTTTCCAAATCTTAATCTAACAGTTTGATCTATTTTTTTATTTTTTTTTTATTTTTTATTTTTGTTTTGTTTTTTCCCCAGAAATCCAACTCATTAGCCACGCTGTGGTTTGTTTTGTTTGATATCGGGTTATTTTAGTTTGGGTTTGAGTCCAGCAAGGATTCTTCAATTGCATCGCTGCAAATATATAATTTTCTTTTCGAATTTAAAGTAGCAAATCAGCTGGTTTAATACAAGCTGGTAATCGTCATCATTAGATTACTTAGTATGATGTAAACTGTAAAATTTGACAGGGTAATGACATTTCTGTCGTTCCTTCTTGAGTAGATGCAGTCAGATTCTTACTGTATTCATAACTAAATTTGTTAGGCACGAATTGAATATTTTTCACTTGAACGTTATATATGGTACACGACACCAGCTACCAATTATGGAAGCTGAATAGATAAACTATTTCAACAGTACCAAAACGCGAATTGAACAGAACTACCTTGCTTACAGAGCCGTGAAGCTAGATTCTTTTAGTTGGGATTGACGATATTCTTATTTTGGGAATTCGATGACACGATATTCTTTCGGATCAGAGACAAGATTTGAACAAGAATGTTGGGGAAGAATCTAGAAGACATGAAAACCAGTGTCTGTTTTATTCTATTTATTACCTCGTTATTTGTGTTGCATCGTTTGTCTTGGAAGTGGTTCTTAGTGGAATTAGGATATGGGGGATTATCTCTGCTGTGTGTTGCACTTTTCATTGAATACATTAAAACACGAGACTAAACCTTTGGGATTTGGATACATCTTTTTAGTGTTAAGGAAGGCTTCAACTCCAACAATTCAGTTTCTGAGTAGGAATTGCTTACAATTTATCTATGGTTCTTTACACTGTTAGTACTCAGCCTTTCAAGTCCAAAATAGTTTTCGTTGTAATTTTATTAATTCTGTTACTTACAAGCGTATATCAAATTCAAGTGGATTTTGATTTAGCTTCACTGTTGTTTTCGATGTGGGGGCAAGCTTCATTTGGCTTTGTGTTTTGGCTGGCCGGGGGGTGACTTGAACATTTGCTGTTGAAATTTACACCTTGGGTAGATGGTGTATAAGGGCCAACTACCAATCTGAGTAAGTATATTCGTGGGAAGGACAAACGTGAACCTCAGCTACTTGTAACCAGTACATAGGGACTGAAAGAGTTATCAGTTGTACCAGGGAACGTTGTCATTTTTCGCAGGAAATATTTGCCTCGAATCCTTCGATTCATTTGGGCTGGAACGGAGTTTAGTTTCCGACTGATCATGAAGTGTGTTGTTAGAGTAGCTTGTGAATTGGCTATTTTATGAAATGAGATTAAAACGGTTGTACAGAGATAGGTGTCTTTACGGTGAGAGGGTTGACTCTTCAGTACTTAATTGGCTTCAATTACTATTAGTACCCTCTTTAAGCATGCATGACTCATAGATCGTGTTTACATAAAACGTGTACATTCTTAGACTCTGGCATTAATCATGTTTTCTTGATCTTAGTCTTTTCTGTCACTTTGAAACTTGGCACCAATGACTCGACTGTGGTCTCTGCGATATATTGAAGGACAGCTCGTCAAGCAATTAGTCATGTTGCCGTCCAGTCTTCATCCTGACACAACGTCCTCAAGGAGCCTGTGTTCTTATTGCGTAAAAGCAGATGCTAATAACTTCTAGGAACCTCGCAGACTTTACGGTTTACTCTAACCAGAAGGTCAATGCAAGCCTTAAAGCCGGATCCTTCTAGTTGCAGTTGATCAGGCACTTGCATTACATGGTTGGATGTAACACGAATACACTGGTGTGTTACCGAGCAGTCGTTTGATCATGTATGTTTGACTGGTTAAGACTGAGGGTCTATTTCGTTTTTTTTAATAGCAAGTACACTTCACTGTTTTTATGCCAGGAAAACGCAAGGGAATTTTGAAGAGCAGCTGGGAGGTAATATCTATACCCTGGTCAGTCTGTCGGAAGAAGATAATTTATCCTCTGAGATGAGGTGCGGCCTTGAGATGTAATTCTCAGCAGTTTGTTCAGAGTCTGCATAGCTGGTGCTATCTAATTGTCAGATACTTGTACAAACCAACATACCAAGTGCAGCTTTGTCTTGGCTGTTACGCGGAGAGGAAGAAGCTAATCCTGCATTTAATATTTTGTTGATGTTCAGAACATCAAGTGTAGATGGTAATGCAGCTGGTTTCCTTCCCATTTGATGTGTTCACCAGTTCCCTAATTGCCGCACTGGAGATGAAGTCTTTAGTTGATTAGTTAAAACGTTCAATTGTTTACTGTTTGGCTGCTAGACCTGATGACATGTGTTCTTGGATTCGATGTTTGAAAATAAGGTTTAACAAATGCCTGGAGTGCTAGGAAGTGAACATTCCTCATGAGAACATCTGCAGTTTAATATAAAGACATTTTTAGCTTGCATATTGCAGTGGCTGGGTGCAATCTCATAGCAGATAAATATTATCATTGTATGTCCTGTTATACACTTGCTATTGTAACATTTGTTAGAACATATCTCTGTGAATATAATTTTACCCAATAATTGAGTAGACGTCGGTTGTCTGTGGACTTTTTTCTTATTTTCTTATTTATTTATTTATTTATTATATTTCAATGCATTTACCTTCGTGTTGCGACAGATTTGAATAAGAGCTATCTACCAACATGAATTAGTCTTCAAAACCCCTTAGAAACATGCCTGAAAGTGGCACTGAGAGTTTTTAAGTAGGTACGTTTTTCAGTTCTGATACACATGAGCTATCTCGAAGTTTTATTATCATGTACGTTTAGACGAGCAGGGAAGGGACTTGATCGTTCTGATTTCCTAATGCAGCGACCTGCAAGTGAAATTTTATTTTACCAGCTCACAATGTAATGATGATGTTGCTGTATACACGTAGATAGGAGAAAGTTTGCACAGGATAGAGATTTCCCCCGATGGTTTGTAAATGCGCAGTTTGCAGACAAGCCGAGTTGGGGTGACAGAAGGCTAATGATGGGACCTTTTTAACTGTTGACTAACTGGCAGATTCATACCTTAGTAAGTGCACATTTATATTAGACAGTACATGAACTCTCTTTTGTTAGAGCTGGTAAGAGCGACAAGTGCTTATATGACGCAAGTCCATCAGCTGTTGTGCGGGCGAGCTGACTGAGCGCGAGCAGTGTAGTTTCGTGACTGTTCACGGTGCAATTTGAGATTTACACCATGTGAAGAACGTTGACAAACCGGTGGAAGTGACACAGAGTTGTTTATTACTAGTACAAGTTATGAAATAAATTGCTATGTTGATTATGGGCATTCTGGTAAGTATGATTAGTGTGCGAGGAAGTGGAGGTGTGTATTTTGTCACCTCTGAAAAGTATATGAGTCAAGGTGGTCAACGATTGAGTTGGAATAGGATTGTATTTTGGAGTAGCTATCCAGACAGTTTTACACTACTAACGTAATGACGTCTCTGTTCACATTTGAATATCGTGGTCAGAGGGATAGGTGTATCAGTTTATTATGATAATTAAGTGGTAGATGTTACTTCATCTCTGGAAGGGACATGCCAAGCTAGCACATTGAAATGACTGCACGAGGTGCACTGTGAACCTACTCTACACTCGGTCAGCATGCAGTTGAATTCTGGTGGAACTATAACCTGTAACGCACTTCATTCAGATTATGAACACAGGTACATCCAAGTGAATGCGTTTAACTCAGTAGAATTACAGTATAATTCGAGCATGTTTATAATGTCAATCTCAAAGCTCTTGATGCAAGTGACGGGAAGCCTTGGGGATCAGAGGTTTGAACCAGTGATAAAACTTTAAACGATGCGTATATTTAGCTGTTCGGACGTTACCTTAGCTGCAATGAACTCATACTGTTCCAAGCAAGAAGTCATGACTAAGAGGAGCAGATATTCCAAGGCCCTTCTGTTCTTTCACCGAGGGAAAATGGATGTCACGGCAGAGGTATGAAAACAAACCTCTGCTAGCACGGGAAACTGATGATCATACAAGTGACTTCAAGAGATTGGCAAGGATAGAATACTAATAGTCAAGAGAACAAAAGCCCTCATCTCAAACTTGGCGACGACTCAGAAATTTCAGCAAGTGTTTCCGGTCAAAGCAACTAAATAGTGTCAGGGGCGATTGGAAGGACGTCAGATGCAACCCTCTAATCCTTGAAGACAAGTGCGTGGGAGTTGATCAATCCTCTTCGGACGCAGAAGAAGGAACGGTCGTCCAATGCACGCTACAGCCTTACTCGAGTATCTCGCCCCTCAATACACAGCTTAAGAGGATGAGTACAAGACGGCTCACGGGACTAGACATCTGCTGCTGTAGATGGATAGTGTGATAAAAGAATAAGGAAACCTTTCCTTCACAATAAGACTCAAAGATACCTTGGAGCTTGCTTTCGGTAGAACTTGGCGACAGCGGGAGAGGGCACACAAGAACATACCCATGCTTCTTACAAGAGTGCATTCCAGCGTGCTCTCTCTCGTTGTCACCTAGATGCGTTTAATCAACTCAGGAAACCCCTATGCGCAGCCTTTCATAAGGCAGTGGGTTTACAACAACGTTTCTGGATAGTGAGTGTTCAAGACAGACTAAAGGAAGACTGTAGATAACCCATCGATTGGCCATATGAAGCACACATACTCCGCGTCATTGGACTTGGTACAACCTCAGTGTACCAGGGTGTTTTCGGAATCTTCGGAACGTTGAGAAGACTTCGGTATCAATCTTGCTGTGAGCAGACAACGGTCTACTGTGAACTCCAGAGCAACGGAGATCGTGACGCCGAGAAACAGGATGCTTGGCAAAGAGTAAGCGAGCCTGGTTAAAAGGGACATAGACATATGGAATGTGCACCTAACGCTGAACAGAAACCTTTTATGCAAAAGAGTTGAGAAGCTCATAAAGACCCTGTCTGTGTTGCCTGGGCCCTACTACTGGCCAGGTGGGAGAAAGGCCTCATCCACGCCATGAAATTGCAAAAGCACCTGAAACTTCTACGAGAGTCGAAGCGAAGAGGTGGTGGACATATGGTGGGCTGCTATGACGAGTAAGGGAAATTGAAAGTCTCATCGGGGGGGGGGGGGTTAATTTTAGGCAATCCATCCAGTAAAATTCATCGCGTACCTTGATCCCGCCGAACCCACCTTGATCGGCCACGGAATATTTCGAGGTACATAATGACGTGATTTTGGTTGCTTTGCAAGGATGAGAAAGTCGTCTTCAACATTGGAAGAAGGGCGGATCATGAGAAAACTTCCCAGATGTAGGGGTACCTAGACCAGGTTGACCGGCGAAGGTTGACCGGCCCAGCAGGTTCATTTCTCCTATTATATTATTTTCATTTCCAGGCTTGTTACCTTCATTACATGTCTGTAGCAACTTGGCGATATTGGCAGGGTAATCAGATCGTGTTGGGACTGATAGGTGAATTGTATAGAGATTTCTATGATATGGTGGAGTCTTTCATTTCAAGGTAGAAACCATAAGAAGTAATCATCGTGACTCAGGAAAACTTTACTTATGCGGTTGCGAGAGATAGAGAGAGAGAGAGAGAGAGAGAAACAACTGCAGCGCAAGCGTCTTTGGTACAACACTGCAAAAATAGTTAAAATTTCCAGGTGCAGAATGTACACAGTGGTCGTGATGATTGATTGTGAACGATCAGTGATTCAAGGGCATTGCCAGTTGAAAGTACTCTGCCACTCCACGAGCCGTAGCTCATCATTTCTCTCATCACGAGGAGGCCTGAACCCTTGAGTAAGGTCGGAACGTGGGCCCAGAATCCCTCTAAGTCGACGACGTCAAGCTTATTAGTTCCAGGTAAATTATAACGCTTTCTACCTGCAATCGTAAGCCGCTCAATACTGTTAATCTTCACATCAGCACGGACAACGTCGATCGAGAGGTCAGAAGCAGGAAGCACCACAACTATCACGCCTGAAGGTTCCTACCGCAGTTGCTCTCGTTGTGACCAGACGACTTGCTTCTCGCAAGAGCGAAACTAGGCAAATTTTGTGGATCCTGCTGCGACCAACATCGCCAAAGCGGGCATGTGGACCCCAAGGACAGCTCATTGTCCGTCACTTGCATCCATCCGGTTTGTCATCTCCGAGGCCATACCCCACACTAGCACCCGCCGTTTCTTCCCCGGCTTGGCGAGATCCCAAGTGCAACAAAACTCGAGCTTCGAACAAACCGTGCAGCGTCATCAATGCGAATGGCTAACCTCTTCCTAATGTGACCCACCTCACGATCCAACAGGGCGGCATCATCCCGGTCGTCCGCAACCAGTGCTAATTGAGGGTCTTCTCGCTGTAACGTAAATTCCTCACTTGCTTGCTTGCTTTCTTGCCTTCCACTGAGGCCTGTACACTGGCTCAACGCCGAAGATACACAAAAAGCTCCTGTCCACGCTTCTGATCCAGTGTTACACTGCCAGCTCCATGCGTGCTGCCGAAAGATGTTAACAAACCCATTGGAAAAGCACGGCATGCTACTGGCGATAGATCTTCCAGCTCCTCCAACGTCAAACGGCTCCTGATCCATCGAGAAATTACCCAGTTGTCGTAACCGTCTGCCGTGTACAAGCTGCCGCTTAGGATTAATGGCCCACATCTCTCATTTGATGGATTTTTTACTTCTGCCCAATCCTGTCCCCACCTCCGATCTCATTTTCTGCTTTTCCAATTCTGTCATTCCCCTTCGATCATCGTTGTTGCTGCTCTTCTTTCAGCTCTAGCTTCTCTTCCATTCCATTCAGCCCCGATCCACTGTCTTTAACCTTGCTTGTCATGTCTGTCTGTCTGTCTGTCTGTCTGTTTGTTTGCCTATCCATCTGTCCATATGTCCACTCCGATATATTTCATCGTCTTCCACCAAATAAAAATAGAAATGTATGTGAATGTTCTACGTTGAAACTTCTAGTTCGGTTACATGCTGAGATATGAAGACAGGTTCATGATCTAGAACCTGAAATCAACATACAATACAACCCTATTTTGAAACTATGGGTTTGTTTTTTAAAAAACTTACAATTGTTATGATCTGAATGATACTGGAATTAAAAATCAGGGTCTTGACAGTGGAATTTCATGTTCAGAGAAGAAGATAAGAACCGTGTTTTCAATCCATGTTGTTGAATTTTTTTTATTGGTATGACTGTTTTGGGAATATTTCTCATTTAGAAGCAATTATTGTTTTATGAAAAAGTAAAGTAAAGTAAAAGAAAATAAAAAAGTTGTCTTTTCCTTGAATAATGACAATACAAACATTCTAAATAAGATGTCAGAGTGATATAGAGTTTAATAATGTTTGAAATGAGTGGTGTCTCATGTCCTAAATCAAATTTGAAAATTTAGAAGAAAAAAATAAAAACTCAATCAAATTATATATATATTGTTTTATTATTTGAATATGATTTTGTATTTTATGAATAGTTTTAATCATTATTGAAATTAGGCTTTAATATATATATATATATATATATATATATAAATGTTATATATGTATCATTCAAATATTGTTCTTATATAAATATTTTTTATATTTTTTTTTAGAAAATATATTCCAAATGATACATAAATTAATTATTATTTTTGGAATATACATACATACATACATACATACATACATACATACATGTAAGAGTGAGCAGCGAGTTGTGGTGGCATTAACAAATCACTCTTCGTATGTACATTTATATCAAACCTTGGAACCAATCGGCATAAGCAATGAATGAATGAATGTCTTCCTTTCCACATCAAATCCTCGTTACATCCCAGACCCAGTGAGGAGCTTCCACTTCCCCTGCTGCCATGGTTGGTATGTATGTCATGGGACAATCATCCGCATAGCTGGCATGGCATGGCATGACATCATCATCACCATCCCCATTTCCCTCCCTTTTCCTCCAGCTGAGCTGGACTGAACTGGAGATGATGGGGAACAAACTCCCCTTTCTGTCCTACCATCATCCATCCACCCCATGGAAGGAGTGAGAGAGAGAGAGAGAGAGCGAGCTAGCTCTCTAGTTCCTCTGGGGGCCATTCCATTCCCACCTCACAATCTACCTTCCCGTTTGGATTCATGAACGGACAAACATATGGATGTAAAATGGATGGGAGCCACACAAGGGCTTTGGTCAAGCCTGAACTCAAAAGTAGGGATTTGTCCTCCCAATTCTCTCTCTCCCTCTCTCTCTCTCTCTCTCTCTCTCTCTCTCTTTATATATATATATATATATATATATTTTATATATTTATATATATACACAATGATTTTGTATGCCATTCTTATATATTGCAAATTATGCCTTCTTGTTTACACAAATGCTTGCAACCATTATTTGGAGATGCCCGGAAGAACTGGTAGGCGGCCGCCAGCTCACCCCCCCCAGTAGAGCCAATAGTAGGGCAGTAGTGGCCAATTCCACTTTACAGCATCATCATCCAGTGCACATGTTCTTGTGCCTGACTCTGGAATTAAGGGTATGATAAAGGATAGACGAATGTACAAAAAGAATG